ATTGTAGCCACAATGGTATTGTTAAGGTTATCAAGTCCTGGCAGTCTGTCACATAAGCAAGGTCTGTATGAGGTCCATCCCTTTTAGAGCTTATCACAGAACTTAATGCAAATCTGTTGATGCATCAGAGGAGTTTCACAAATGAAACAAATGAACTGTACATAATTATTCAAATGTTTTGCAAAAACTTTTGCCGTGAAAAGCATGCAGTTGGCATTTGTAGAAGATCTCTGTAACAGGCCATCCCTAAGAAAATCAGTATACCTGATGTTTGCGGTATTCCTTGACCTCAATGAGATACCTGTGTCTCCATGCCCTTGTTTGTTATCTCCGCGGCTTAGGCCTTATTTATGTTTTATATGTGGCTGACGTAAGCCACATCAGAATCGAACCTGATTTTGAATTTCCATCCTTGTCCAAACTCTAACACATCAAGCTGAAGAATTTACAGGAAGATACTTTGCAAGCCAATTTTTAATATGTTTAATCAACAGATGTTTGAAATTCTGCAGTGGTTTGATCATGTGCTTTGTTTGAGGATTTGATATGTGATGATTTTGTCAGTGCTCTGTTGAAGAGACTAGCAAAGATTAGTCTCAAGCTGCTACTTGTGCTGCAATGCTGCTGGTCAATGCTCGCTGTCAGCAGGGTGCCATGAGAAGCAGGACTGTCCAGTCTGAGGGACTACTGTGCTAACTCAGGTGTACAGTGTCTAGGACTCTTAAGAGGTTTGTTCAAGGCAGTGTAGAACTATCCGAAAATACATCAGTCTTCTATCTCTGTGTACCTTTGTCGTTTAGGAGGTTTGAGTTCCTGCAATACCCATTAATAGTGCAGTAGAGGAGTGTTTTTATTATATGTGCCACAATGTTCAGTAGATTTACAACATATTTGCTGAGAAGGTTGTTGCTGTTCCTCCCTTATTCTGTCTGCACAACTTCCACTAGTCACAACAGAAATTGCATGATTATATGAGAGACCAGGTGACTGTAAATGAGATCACATTATCCTTGAGCAAAAATACGAGCTTTACAAAGTTAGTCAAGAGAATTAAAATTGATAATTTTTGATTTCTCAATTGAGTTATGGAAAACCAGCAACTAACCCAAGATGAACAGAAAATTTTAGAAAAAAATTACAGAATTTTCAACTTGTGTCTTTTCCTGAGGATCTCAAAATTTATGAAGAGAGTTTTTCAATGTCCCTGTAGGAGACATGTAAGGTTTTTCTTCTTGTATAGTTGCGAAAGCGAAGCAAAGAGGGCTTGTGAACTATATAATGTTTCTCAGAAAGCCTAAAGCAGATTCAGGAGTAGAATCTAGTTGCTTCATTTTCAGAGCAATGCTTCAATCCTGGGACGCATTCTTTCCTCTTTGACTTTTATCAGAATGGCTGTTTCCATATAAAATGGAATGTTACTTTTGCATCTGTGGTGCTGGAATATTGAGCAGCTAAACTAAGGTTTCTGTAAGCAGATTGTTTATGAGGGCAACAATGTCAACTTTGCTCTACAACTTTTTTCATAATGTTCTGGCTGTGAAAGCAGATTTCTAGATGCCAGGTTGCATTCAAGTCATGCAGAAGTTCAAGGCAATTTAGTCAACACTAGAAATGAAGAAGCAACTTTAAGACACAGTGTTTATGTTGTCAAAAGAATATCGTTAGCTCTACTGTGTTATAAGAGTGTTTTCCTCTGAATTTCACTGCAAGAGCAAAATCTGACATACGTTTGACAGGATTCCAGTTGACAAAAACTAACATGTTAGCAAGTCAATACCACTGAGAGACCAATGTGATATCTGATCTGACAGCAAGATAAATTGTTCCAAAAATGCAACTGGTACTGAAACTAAATTTGTAATTTTATTATACATCTTCCAGAACATCTTATACAGTCGATTTACTTTCTGCCATTGACATTCTTGTCTTACTTTCCATCCAAGAATAAACAAAATTACCCCCCCAAGAATGCCCATAAACAATTAGTCAGAAACAGAATATTAAGCAAAATATTAAACATATTAGTAAGTATGTTATCAGCTTGGCAGTGTTCTTTATTTTGAATTATTTTTGAGATTTTTCAAAAACCTAATGGTCTGGACAGGTGATTCTGCCACTCTGTTCTGCTCTGGTGAGACCCGTCCTGGAGTACTGCATCCAGCTCTGGGGCCCCTAACATAAGAAGAAAATGGATCTGCTGAAGAACAGCAGGAGGAGGAGGACCACAGAAATGGTCACCTGGTTGTAGCACCTCTCCTATGCAGAAAGTCTGACAGAGTTGGGGCTGTTTAGCCTGAAGAAGAGAATGCTCTGGGGAGACCTTATTTCAGGATTTCAGTACTTAAAAGGAGCTTATTTCCAGTTTTTTAAAAGGGACTGGAAATTAGCAAATGTAACACCCATCTGCAAGAAGGGTTGGAAGGATGATCTTGGGAACTACAGTCCTGTCAGCATGACCTTGCTGCCAGGGAAGGCCATGGAGCAGGTCACCCTGAGTGCCATTACATGACAATCAGGGGATAAGGCCGAATGAACATGGGCTGATTGAAAGGCAGGTCCTGCTTGACCAACCTGACCCACTTAGTGTGAGCGAAAGGCTGTGGATGTGGTTTGTCTTGACCAGCTTCATGAAGCGAGGTTGTAGTGAGGTGGGGGTCAGTCTCAAGTGAAAGGACAGGAGGAAAAGGCAATAAGTTGCAGCAGAGGAGGTTCAGATTATATGTTAGAAAAATTTTTTTTCACTGACAGAGTGTTTAGGCATTGGAATAATTTATCCAGGGACATGGTGGAGTCACTGTCTCTGGAACTGATCTAGAGGTGTCTGGATGTGGCACTTGAGGATATGGTTAAGGGGTGATCATGGTGGTGCTAGATGATCTTGAAGGTCTCTTTCAACCTTGATGATTTTATGATTTTGTGATTATAAGAAAGATGGGGACAGACTTTTGACAGGTCCTGTTGTGATAGAGTGAGAGCTGATGGCTTTTAAATAAAAGAGAGTAGTTTTAAACTAGATGCAAGGAAGAAGGTTTTTACAATGAGGATGGTGAAACACTGGAACAGGTTGCCCAGAGAGGTGGTGGATGCCTCATTCCTGGAATCGCTGATGATCAGTTTGGATGGGGCTCTGAGAAACCTGGTCTTGTGGAAGATGTCTCTGGTCATTGCAGGGGAATTCAACTGGAAATATATCTACCATCTTAGACTTCTAAAAAAACCCCACACAAACCCACCTCTTTAGCATAATAAGATAAATAAATATAATTAAGAAAATTATAGCTTCACTTTTGAACCATCTCATATGATGTGTACTAGAGATATGTACAATTTGCTTTATCAGTAGTTTCAGTTTGCATCGTAGACAAAAGACTGATTAGATGCTTTAGAAGCTGAAAGACGCTCTTTGACAGTTTCCTGGTCCTGACCAAGAATCATGGTAATGAATACTGTACAAAAAAATGGGTGTGATGCTTCTCTTTCAACAGGGTTATGCCAGAATTTAATCATGGAGATGAGATCGCAAGGTTTCAATGTTTTATTTGATAAATTGCCCTTTAACACTGCTGCACCACAAATAGCAGCCAGTGCCTAGTTTTTAGGAGAGCACCACACTTTATTCAGTTTGCAATAAAGGGTAAGAGAAAGGGTAAGAGTTCTAATATATTTTTCTATTTATTTGCAAGGCAACCTTAGCAGTTCCTTGCCCACTGCAGAAGTCTCTGTTTTGTATCTATCTGGGTGACAGGGTTATTATGGCAACTTAGCCTATGTCCAGACAGTATTTTTGGCTAGTTTCAGAGCACTTTTTATCTGTTGCTGTAATTCTGCTTTGAGTATTAGCAGCATATTTTTGATGTACGTGATTTTATTGCATTAGTGCTATAATTGTATCTTCAGTTAGCACATCTTACTTTAACATACTGTTTTAATAAAGCAAAACCTACTACTATGGTCATAAGTGTGGCTCTGTGCAGAGTTTATACTACTAGCATAGGTGTCATGGTCTCACCCTATGACACTGAGTTGTTCTGGGCTCGCCTCAAGGATTCAAGGAAACTCTCGCTCTGGGGCAGACATTAATATTACCATCCAGAACAGACACAACAGACCTTCAAACGCAGACCTTAGTTAATCTTTTTTGTTGATTTGGACTACTGGGACAACGTTGTTGTTAACCGTTTGTCAATCTGGTTTTTGTTTGTTTTGCTTTTTGTTTTGATGAGAGGAGTACAAAATTGTTATAATGGTAAAAGAAACAACTTTTTTTTCTGTTTTTTTTCTCAGTGATTTTTTTTCCCAAATATCATGATCTTTCAAACACAGTACTGAAAATTAAAGTGGTTAAGCCTGCTTTTGTGCTTAGATTTTTGCGATCAGCATTGCTCAAAAAACTTCTGCAACTCAAAACATAGTTGCTCTTATTTCAAGGTTGCAGTATTCAATGTGACATAGTCATGTTTTATTGCTTAAATTTGCTGCAGTGTGGCATCAGCACTTACAGAAATGGTTAACCCTGACACCAATGCACATAAAAATAGAAGTCAAAGAGAAACTTAGCAGACAGATAAGTGGTAGGAATAGTTAATAGCACTCTGCTGATGATAACTGTATGGACTCCAAATATATTATTTCATGCAGCAATGACTGAACTTATTTCTGCTTGTTAAAGTATTTGTCTAGAAATAGAGATTTACATTATAACACTAGAAACTGGATTCTGTGAAGAGGTGTAAAAGCAGACTGGAATGTCTGAGCTCCTTCGTCACTTTAAATAATATGGTACTGAAGTCAATAAAATTACACTTGCAGACTACTCCATAGGCTTCTGCTTGACTGCTCTGGGATTCATTGTATATTAAGGCTTCATTTTCTAAAAAACCCCATTACTCTACTCCACGTTAGCTGCACATTTAGCTTGCATGCTCAGTCTAAGAAGGATGGCTAAAAGACAACACTGTAATTTGTTATTAAAATCTGTAATTTTTTTTTGTTCATTACAGATTAATCTCAGAGATCTTGGGCAGCTATATAAAATCCGCATTGGCCATGACAACACTGGAAATGATCCCAGTTGGTACCTGGAGGAAGTCAGACTTGAAAGAGTAGTCCCTCTTTCCGATGAAGAGATTTGTCTCCCCATAGAGTGCTGGCTTGCAGAAGACAAGGATGATGGTGATACGTGGAAAGAAGTGGCAATAAGAAACCCTGCAAAGGAGCTTTTGCCATGTACGTGCCCAGTATTTTAAATCATGTTTATGACAGCTTTTCACGTTTCTACCGGTGCAGACTGCCCAAAAGCCAGCGTGACCAGGAAGAAATCCCTTTCCAGTTACTTTTTAGCTCCACAGGAGCAGGAAGTGATCACTTAACCTCAATCCTGTCCTTCCCAAAATCAGAATAATATCTGTGGCCAGTGCATGTAATCCTTACACAATTTCTGATCTCTCAGAGTGCCTGTACATCATTGGCAAATACTGCTCTGTAGAGAATGGCAGCGGGCAGGAAATCAAGGCAAATCAAGGTACATAGTGTTATGTGACATCCAATTCCTTTTATCAAGTTTGATATCATCCTTTCTTGCACTTCATAAAATATTCTTTACCAGAAATCCATTATTTGAATCATCACAGGTGTTTTTCAAATCAGGCTCGGGTCACAGCCATTCACACAGGAATTGTTAGCTGCAGGGTGACACTTTGGTACTTCAAAGTTTACAATAGCGTTGACACACTTTGTTCTCTTCAAGTGAAGTAGGAAATAGCCCATCATATAAGGTTATTGTTTAAAAAGTACCTGGGTTTTTATGAAGGAATAGGGATTTGGTATAATCACTTAGCATGATTTTTTAAAAAGTAGAATTCTCTTTATGTATAGAATGACAACAATGCAACTGATGGTCGATAATGTTTGACATTGCATAGATGGGTACTACCATACAGCAAATTGGATTCAAACTGATGCAGTGAATTTTGCAAGGAATCAGTGGTTGAACACAAAAAAAAATCATCATACACTTAGTGACAATCAAATAATTTCAGAAGAAAATATCAAAGAAGTGAAAACCTTCAAGTCAAAAGAATACTGAAAAAAAAAAAAAAAAGAAATTAAGACTATGATCTCTGAATGTTTTATTACAATGGCCAGAAGATGCTGAGAAATATGTATGAACTAGGTCACATTTCCCCTCTGGCCTTTTTTTTATTTTCTTCATTTTTTTAAAAAAAATTGTTCTGCACAATATTTACTGACTTCAAAAAGGGATTTCAAAAAATGGGACTGATCTGGATGAGCCAGGCCCTATGACCATTAACTTTTACCACTGTACCATAATGCACTCACAGTGACATATATGTGGTATACTGGGGCAGTAGGATAGTAGTGCAGAAACCAATTAAGTTGTACTAACAATCAATTCAACATCAATAATTCAAATCTGCATTATGTAGTCTGAAATAGACATTCATAGAGAAGTACTAATGTTCTGGTAGGTGCACGCCAATTAAGTGTTTCTACATGAAAAATCAAGTTAGTTCTATCAAAGGCTGGGAATATATTTAAAACAGCACATTCGTTTACTCTGTAATTATTATATTACTACATATTTCCTTATGCTTGCAGGAACATTATCTTAATTAAAATATATGTCTCAAGTATGTAAGAAAAGATAAATTAGAAAAATTTGAAAATTTCTAGAAAATTTAAGTTTTACTGATTAATTATTGATTTTAAGCATATTTAAATTGAACACCGATATAAACTCAGAAAGGATTTCAAAGGATTTCCTACTTATTTTGTCAAGAACAAGCAAATGAAACACTATCTGTTTGCATTTTTCATTTAAAAGCTAATTGCTTACAAGTACTGTACAAATCACATCAAGTCACTTTCTCTAGCAGAAGAAACGATGTACTGCTAATTACTCAGTGATGATCTGATATTATTTGGTAATTTGTATCCTGTACTTCCAATTCAATCTGTTATCTTCTGGTCAGATTTGCTTAGTTATAAAAGTGATGTCCTAGAAAATTTAAACAAAGAGAACAAATGAAAACTAAGGACAAAAGGCACTATTTGAACTTTTTTTTTTTTTTTAAATGCTGTTCTTTAGCACTTATCCTATTGTTCAGCTCCCTCTTAGAAGAAAGGATAATTTTTACCTTATTCTTTTTCTCCCTTTCCCCATCAAAAGTATGGACCCAAAGCCTTGGAGATGATTTTTGATTCTCTAGCTTTCTCTTTTTCTAATGTCTCTTCTTAAGATCTGAATCTATTTCCTGAATCTTTTAGTTTTTCTTCAGCTTCATCTTCTTTTCCATCCAAATTTCTCACCTTGGTAACCCCTCTTAGTTTTTCTGTCCGTCCCTCAACCGCTTCAAAAAATTGATACTAATCTGGTCTCCTACTCCCAGTGATGATTTCAGTTCTTTCTCAATCTCTACATCACACCAGTGTCAGCTTCCTTTCTTAGCTCAGGTTTCTTAACCCTCCAATATATGTCTGCCTTTGTGTTCCCCTCTTTTCTTATTTTCTCCACCTTGCCCAGGCTTCCAGGTCTGTGGCTCCTTTTCCTCTTCCTATTACATCTTCTCTTTTGCTTTTTGAGCCCTGGAGATTTAAAAAGCTTCAGCTGATCTATCTTTGAAGTTGTCCCTGAATTAAGCATGCTGTTGAACTGGATGATCCCTGGAGGTCTGCTCCAACCTGGGTTTTTGTGTAATTTTTCTATGCAGTCTCATTTTGTTTAGTTTTGGTTTGGTTTGTGTTTTTTGGATTTTTTTTGTTTGTTTGTTTTTGTTTTTTCCTGGCAGTCCCAGATATTCTCAGTTTACCAAACTTTACAAGTATTAGATTGTTTTAATTATTGCTGTTTTGATAGGGTTTCATCCCCTAGTTATTTTGTGATGCACAAAATAAAAGAAAAATTGTTCAACTATTTTCTAAGTGATAGGTATGGGAAATTAGTAATCGTGCCCTGAGCTGGTTAAATCTTAAATGTCACTCAATGAAAATAAGAGAGAAGCCTTATTTTGAGTGCTTTTGACTTAGCTTTATAACGCAGGAGTATTACAAGAATCAGACCAGATATGACAGCTCAGTGAAGGTGAAGGTGCCACAGCTGCGTGGCCCCAGGTCCGTCCAGCAGCAAGGCTCAGCATGTGCTTCTGGTCAGCACACAGAGAGAGAGCACATGTATACATATGCATATAATGGCCAGCTGCAAAGACAGTTGCACAAACACTGCACCAGCAGCCTCATCCTGCTCCCTTCTCTAGCTGAGCAGGATGGAAATCCACCAGTGGGACTATATTTTGTGAGTAGATGTGTATGAGGTAGATACTTCCAACAGCTGGGCTCACACAGTCTCTCTGCTCAGCAGTTGCCCCTGGATCCCAGTCTCCCCAGTTGCTGGCGACTGGACACATGAGGCCCTGAAGCTGCAGCCCTGCTGCAGCTGCTGGTACAGGCCATCTCCCACATGGACACATGCATGCACACACAGAGCTATCTCCCCCTTAGAGACACACATACACTCTAGTAGGTCTCACCCCTAGAGATATCTTCACCTCACGGTGTGTCTGACAGATGACTGGGACTCCCATGGTCCCTCCAGCGTTCAGCTGCTCATGTGGTCCTGCATGCACTTAGAGACAAGGGCTTCTGACCCCTGGTCCCATTTCACTCGCTGACAATTTTACTCCCTTCAGTATCTTCAGCTGCTGTCAGTCATGACCCCAACTGGGTCTCAGTCCAGCCTCTGGCACTTAGACCCCCAACCCACATGTGCACATAGATCTGATTCCTCTGTTTTCTAACACCTGTTCCTCCCCAAGTCAGAAAGAGAGCCATCTCTTTCCCTGCCTTTAGTTACTCCCCTAAACATCTCATAAATCCTGTGCAATCACCAAATGCTCTTCCCCTCTGCCCTATATTTTGCCTGACACCCTAAGGCAGCAAACCCCAGAAATACGGCAGATACTCCAAATTGACATACTGTGATAGGTTTTATGCCCAGACACTGGGACTGAGACTCTCCTGGCAAAGTGCTGGAAGAGAGTGTCCCTTTCTCTAAGTCTTGATATGGGTTTCCACCTGCCCTGGTGTCCCTGTGATTGTGGAGATGGTTCCACATAGAACTGTGGGCTGATGGCTCCTGTGATGGGCCTGGGAGAAGCCAGAACAGGGTGTTAGCTGGACTGCCCCCTCCCAATATCTGCCTGTGTTCTTTCATGAATGTGCAGAACATTTTCACACATTCTAAAGTGGATTGTCTTCAGATATGGCTGAAGTTTTGATCCAAAGAGGTACATGATACAAGAAGTGTTGAATTTTCTTGCTGTTTTGTTTATATGAATATGAACCTTAAATGAGAATATAAATGTGTAAACGTGTTCTGTTCTTATTCACATAATTGAAGGAATAACTGTACTGATATGAGCTAAAAGACAAATATTGAGACTGAAGCAAGAAAAATTCCAGCTCCAAAGATTTAGAATTCTTTATCACTTGGAGAAATGTGCAGGCAAATACAGAAAGGTTAGATGTTCCTATTGACGGAAATAGTGCAAAAAGATGACCAAAGCAAATATTAATGACAGAAGTGTTAGCTCTACAAAATTTTTATCCCTGTTTTATCACTCAGGAGGCACCAACTACATAGGTAAATAGTCAAGCTTCTCTTTCCTATTGTAAAATTCATTAGCAAGTGTGGTTTTTTTCAAATCTGATAATTTTCTTAAATGTTATGAAGAACATATATTTTTTAGACTATTGCTCCATATAGTAATAGTGAACAGTAGATATAATTTAGTGGAGATTACAGTGAGAACTATAATTTTGATTTAGCTTTAGTGCTGCACCAACCTGTATTTTTACCCCTCCGTCATGGCAAAATGCCAAACACCATTTGTGAAACCTGGGTAGTAAATAGCAAGTAGTAAAACCACAGAGATTCAATCTTACTGTTTGACAGATTGTGCCACAATGACCATTTAATTCAAGTGGGCATGTCATATGGAAAAAAGGCTGAACCTGGAGCTATTCTGTTATCTTGGAACACCATCATTAAGGGAGGACTGAATAGAAAGATTTTGACAATTTTAATGTTGTATATCATTTAACATCTCTCTGGGTTTTGTGATCTTTGGCCAATTTTTCTTTTTACACTAGCAGCCTGGTGGGAGTGGATTTGCTTAGTGAAGCATTTAGTACTAAAAAACCCACTTAGT